AGAAAGCTCCAAAATGTTTTTAACTTGACCGTCTCATGTATACATGCTCAACTTCGTTGAAGGAACTCTCATAGATTATCCAACTAATTCCAAAGCAATTATCTGTTTTGCATGCGATCCAACTGGGTATTACACGCCCAGTAATAAAGCCATCATATGGGGCTAGTTATTGGCACTAGCCCCATAGTTAGTTGCATACAGATGCTACATATTACTAGTATATATTTTTTAGTTTTAGCCCACTTATTGTTCAATATAAATGCACAACATGACACTGTAAGTTTTAAATATTAATAGTCTGCTTTCTAAGTTTTATGTCTTGTACGTGGAAAACATGACATCTAAACTGCTGGCTTTCTGCTGGCTTTGATTTGTAGAGTTTCAGGAAAGGTCATTATTTAGTATGCAAAAAAAAGAAGAAGTAGGTTTTGGCTGCAAGAAGCATGTCAAACTCATGATTGAACTTGTGAACCTAAGAGCCCTGTTGAGACCAACGGCCTATCAGATTCAGTCTGCCATTCACAGCGACAAACCAGAGGCCTATGGGAAGCCCACAATCAGGATTACTATATAGCCATAATGACTAACAGTTATTGGTGGCCTGATCCTCCAAGAGAAACGCTTGCTTTGTCTGCCCCTCTGGACAGTTTCCTATGCAACAACCACTATTCTTGCTCCTTCTCATGCATGGGGCTTGAACCAGCAAGGCTCTTGAACCAGCTTCTCAGGAGGTCTCACAGACCACTTCAATACTGGTATCTTAGTAGAAAATAAATATTTTTTACCCTCTTCTCTATTGTCTTTTAAGTAGTTTAATTGTGTGCAGTTGCCTTCCATTTTGTTGACACTGCTTTTGTAATGTTTGATCTATCTCATTTTATTGATTATAGATTGCCAAGCTTTAAAAACAACAACAACAACAACTGGAGGCCAATTAACTAATTTTCTCAAATAAAATAGTACATGCAGGAGATTTATGGACTCACTTGCTAGTCAGTTTTACCAGAGCACTGCTGCAAGCATTCATTTTCAATGAAGGACAGCACGCTAGTTAATTAAAACATTCCCTAAAGCAGCCGCACTAAAAAAAGCAGGAAAAACTCTTCAGAGCTGAGTTACAGTCATTGACAAGTATCAGCAGTGACAGCCTGGAGATTCTGAAGGGACAACTTTGTGTCCTGCCCCAATTTAACCCTTTACACCTTCAGGCAAATGCCAAAACACTGCTACAGGGTTTAACTGTGTGATAAATATCTATGCATTACAAAGCTCACAGTTTTAGAAGAAATCTTCAAAGAATACAAGTGAACATGGGCACAGAGAGCTGCATGACCCAATGCTGACCTAAACTTAACTATGGTTAACATGTCAGACATACAAGAGATTATGGTTTAGTCTGGCAAAGTTAGTTCTGCCCTCAGCTGATGTGTATAGTGGGACACCAGTAATACCTATTTCTTATCTTATAAGGAGAAGCTGGAGAGGTGGATTAATTTTCCTAACCATACTCTGTGCAGATGTATCCTTGATATACAGTTAATACCAACCATGGTTTGCAACCCCACGGTTTCACAGCATTATTCTGAAGCAGGATCTTCATGAGGCCATAATCCCACCCATATTCAAACAAGTCTGTCTCCTATCAATTGCTAACTCTATCTGAAGTGGATAAAACCTATGGGTTCTCTATTTGAAAACCTGACTCCCAATTTGCTACCAAGCAAAAGGTTCTATTATTGTATGGATCTTCCAGATATTCAATGATAAGGAAAAATGTCCACGCCACAAGCTGGGATAGCTCAGTCGGTAGAGCATGAGATTCTTAATTTCAGGGTCATGGGTTTGAGCCCCACAGTGGGCAAAAGTTGGACAGGGGGTTGGACAAGATTACCCTCGTGGTCCCTTCCAACTCTACAATTCCAGTAAAAATTAATGGATGCCAATTGCAAATACATTATTGGGCAAGCTTGGCAGTTTCAAAGTTTTTACCTTTGTTTACTAAATAAAAGTAACAAAAAATAATGATGCTGCTAAATTAGATAACTTTCTATGGCATCAGAAAACTTTACAGTGCAAATTACCCTAATGTTACATGGGATTTTTTTTTAAAAAAACCCACATTACACAAATGTTAATCCTTTATTGGCATAGACTTTTCCTCTGCAGTAGTGTGAAGTCTCATACGACATTTCATAATCCAGTAATCCTGATCTAGAGGAAAACACAAACCATAGTTTTCTGATTTGAATGCAGTGGCAAATTTGGATCTGTACTACAGAGGAAATTCATCCAGCTGGAGTGCTGGGCAGGGGTGGAAAAGAAAACCACAAGACTCATTCTTATAGCATCAAATCATGGTTGCCATTACATGTAAACCATCCCAAAATGTTTTGAATTTCAAACTAGGCACTTAATAAAACTGAAACACTATATTATTCTTTTTTAACTCAGGTAAAGTTAAAGAAAGGAAATATTTGACCCAGTGATTCAATACCTAATTTTCATTAAAATTCAGTACAAATCCTCCTCAATTGTCATTACTCACCTTTCCATATCTGTTTTTCTTGGTAATCTGTTGGGAAGGGGAGTTGGAGTGGTGTAAAAAAGATCAAATTATTATGTTTTGACAAATACTACAAAAACATTAAACAGGAAGCGTGAGTTAATTTCAGCTCTCTGACAATAGTTCTTGTACAATTCTCAAGTTTTTAAACAATCTTGTAACTCATTCACATTTTACATTTTGGGGTGTACATTTAAATCTTAGGCAGATACCTACAGTATGTGACTGCAAACTTCTTCACACAGATAATAAACAAATGTCTACCATGTGTCCAAATAACTGAAAACAGATGATGATTTCCCAAAAGGTTTTTCCAACACCAGTGCAAATACAAGTGACTGACATCATAAAGAGTGAACTTGCAGTCATTCAATTTCAGGTCTCCATGTCCTGTGTCTTTACTATTACTAACAGCACTGTATTATTGTGATGCTTAAACAAGCTGAGTTACAACACTGACTATTTTTTAATTCTGGGAGCATTTATCCACACCAACTTAAGGTAAATAAAAGGGTCTGTTATATTTCCACAAAAGCATTAACAGAAAAAAGATAACAATATCCCACTTAAAGTAGATTGAAATATATTTTTGTAGAGGGCCCTATATTGCTAGTGCTATGAATCACAAACGAGTTAAGGTGGAGTAAACATATTTTGAACCCATTTAGCCCCATTTAAAGTAATGCAGCTTAACTAAAATGCAAATAAGTTTGAAAGGATTTGCAGATATGACTATAGGTCTAATTTATATGTGGATGCATATGTAAAAAAAAGGAATTGGTTTATCCTGACTTTCACAGCCAACAACCTAATTCAGCATATTCCTGAAAGAGACTAAATAAGTAGTTGATGTGAATATATTAAAGCTATTAACTTCAATAAGGCTATTTATCTATTATTTTAAAATCTCATCCAACCAACCTTCTTTCTATTCATTACCTGGGCTGTTACTTACAAGAAATACTCCAGAGATGATACAGAGGGTCTGCTGCTTTGCCCATCATTTACAATATTTGAGATTCCAGCATTGCAGGGGGTTGGGCTAGAAGACCCTCAGGGTCCCTTCCAACTCTACAATTCTATGGTTCTATAAATAGCTTGTTGCAAAGACGTAGCCACAATGGGAATTGATTTTAAAAGGCCACAATAAAGCAACCACAGAAGTTCCAGCTATGTGACAGGAGATTGTAATGAGGTCTCACTAGAAACTTTGTGAAAAGTATAAATACAATTTCTTTTTAAAAACCTGTTTATTACAAAGACAGCAAAGGCCTTGCTGCAATCTAGACACATAGGATGCTTCCAACGGTACCTGTCCCTCAATAGTCTACACACAAACAGCTTGCACTGGACCAAAATGGTCTGTACTGTCCAGATGACTTGCAGTGAAAGGAGGCTACCCTTCAAACTAAAATACAGCATCCAACTGGGACCACAGCACCCTTGTCACCTAGTGTGCATGCACACGAAAGTTCATACCAGTAACAAACTTAGTTGGTCTCTAAGGTGCTACTGGAAAGAATTCTTTTATTCAGTATTTCCAATCAAGCAAACACAAGTTTTAGTTTAAAACTTGGCCCTTATCTTCTTGATGTTCTTATTAGGTTTGCCAGCAAACATAAACTCAACCAGGAATCAATTCCAGCTCTTTAACAAATGCACTTGTATGTATGGCACTTAAGTTGTTGAACGATTGTTTAACTCTATTCACCCTTTACATTTTGGGGGTGTACATATGACTCTTAGGCATGTCACCTAAGAGTCACAGCGTGCGAAGAGAGTCTGAAGATTCTAACTGAACCAGAAGATCAGGCTTCCCCAAACCACCACCCTCCTTCTCCATCACGTAGAACAAGCCACAAAGGAGGAGGACCTCTTGGGCGAATGGGTAAGAGGCGTTCCATAAGCCAAGGTCGCCTAACACGGGTCCGTCGGAGAGTGAACCATCTCGCGGGGGGAAGCAAGGGGGCAAGGCAGGCAGGCAGGTGGGTGGGTAAGGGGCTCCCGGGCACTCACAGGTCGGCCAGAACGGTGAGCTCCGCGTAAGTGCGATGCAGCAGGAAATCGATGAGGGTGCTGAGTCGGAAGCCGGCGCTGGCCGCCGCCGCCGTTCCCGGAGGCTGCGGAGCTGGGGCCGAGGTGGGCCCTCCTCCCGCCGGGACCAGCTGGTGGCTTTCCAGTTGCACCGGCGCCATCGTTGCAGGAACCGAAACAAGCCGGCCGGCCGGCCGATGAGAGCGGGTCTTCGGCGTCCTTTCCCCGCCCGGCTCGGCTCTCCCTCGCGGGCAACCAGAAGCAGCCGCGATCACAACGCGCCTCTTCGGCCGCCGTGCGCCGCCGCTGCTGGGGCTGCCGCCACCATTGCTGGGGGCGGACACCGCACCGGAAGCAATCCCAGGACAGCGACGGACCGGAAAGAAACCTCTTCCGGTAGCCTGCACTGGATCATAGACTTCCCCCCCGTCTCTGCAAGAAGCCTTTTTAGTCACCCATTATTAGACTGACAAAAGGTTCCAAGTTTCCGGGTTCACTCTGAGCTCGATTTTAGCCTCCCAGGGAGGAAGTCAGAAAGAACCGCTCACAGGAAGCGCTGGCGGAAGCCCAAGTTTTAATGTAGCTGCGTTTGAGCAGCGGCTTATCCATTAAGAAGCCAACGGTAGTAGCATTCATTTCAGTGAAAAGCGGCGTAGAAATACATTTCATCTTTCTAACATAGCATGACTGCCAATCCGAAAGTTGCTTAGCAATAGCCCTGTAAGCGCAGGTCTTTATTGCAGGCTGAAGATGGACCGAGGTCGCTTTACGCTTTCCATTCATAAATGGTATCCATCCCATGCAAAACACTCTCAAGTTACAGTGTTCAATTTAATTGATTTAAATCGTCGCCCGTTTAAACAAATAATTAAACGTGCGGTTTTATTTTTATGTTGCGTCATACTGAGTTATTTTAATGTAGGCGACTTTCGCTGTTATCCTAATAGGAAAGTGAGTTATAAACATTAACTAAACCGATCTATCACCCAGCGCACACCCAGCACTGCTTCACGAGTAAGCCTTGACTTGCACGGAGCTGCATTGTGCATTTAGCTGCAATTCCTTATCCACTAAATTGGGATGAAGCCCCATTGAATTTTATGGAGCTTCTGAGTAATAATGAAAATAATGACACTGCTTTATGCTTAAAACTATGGCTTCTACGACTTCATTTCCCACCCGAAATGAAACTTGAATAGCAAGAACATAAGCTCCCGGTTTTGCTATTATTATTATTATTATTATTATTATTATTACTACTACTACTACTACTACTATTTTACGAGACGGAAGAAACTTAATTTTCTTTTGGCAACTCTCATTTCCTCTCCAGGGAGAAAACAGCGCCAACAGGAACCGGAACTTCCTTCTTCAGGCATCTTAATCACGACTTTACTCTTCAATCTCGATAGTATAGGCTCTATGGAAAGCAATGGGGCGGCCTGGCGTTACCGGCCTTCGTCTGTCTGAAGCCCTCGCCAGAGAGGGAGGCGCCGCAGAGTCACAGAGGCCTAAAGCGGGCTGTGCTGCGCGAATTCCTGGCTCAAGAAGAGGTTGCGGCTCCTCCTTTTTTCTCTCCTGACAGTTCTTGTACCTTCAAGAGCTTTCAGAACAGGCTGAAATTCTTCATGCTGACAGGAAGAGAAGCTGCTCCTGCAAATCATGCAACAGTTAAAGACGCTTTGTCAGGAAAAAGAATCATATATACTGGTACTGTTTAGGATGCCAGGCTCCAGCTGATCACTTCCATTTTACTCCTGAGTATTTCTATCAGTTTCATGGGCTTGTTCCAGCATAAAACAGGCCATGTCATCTTGCAGTAACAACTAGACCCCTTCAAAAGCAGAAATATTTTCATAAATTAACACCTTCCATAGTATTTTTTGTGTGTGTGTGTAATGTGATTTGGAATTGCTTGTAGTGAGTTGGTGTGGTGTAATAGCAAGTGTGAAATGGAAATCTCTCATCAGCCGTGGAGTTCGGAAGTTGCCTTAGGCAGCTCATAATCCAGCCTTATCAAACGTGGTACCACGGCAGTGGGCCAGCATAAAGCATTCCACACTGAGGCAATACCACTGAGTAGCTGCTTTCTCCTGCACCTCAGCTCAGGTGGCAGGGGGTACACAGAAAAGGGCTTCTGAAAATAACAATTGGGCAGGTTCATTTGGGAACTGGTAATCCTTCAAAAACTGGATCCAAGTACATGTTTTAAATCTTACTTTTTCATCTGCATTATTATTATATGTATAAGATTTCTTATCCGCCGTTTACTATAGGATCCCAGGATGTGTTACAATGGCAAAAGCAATACAGTTTAAAACAAAACCAACCACTAGTAAAATATTTATCATCATCATATTAATTGACAGTTTCAGATAGGTCACAGAACAACAGCCCTATTTCAGATTGGTGACAAACTCTTCACTAACAGAGAAAGGTCCCTGAGACACCTCAACAGGTGGTCACACTATGTTTGGGGTATCCAATGACACAGGTGGGCTGTTCTGACAATCCACTTGTTCTTTCTCTTGGATCCAGAGCTCTATGTCCTAAGCCCTAGGACCCTAAGTTCAGACTCCTCCTGGGGTCCTAGATTCCTATTCCCTTCTTACAGGCTGACCTCCTTCAGCTCTGATCTCCTCCCACTTTTCCTCAACATTCAACCCCACTCTCTATACTGTCTCTATGAGACTCTTGGCTCCAGCTCCCATCAGACCTAGCCAACATGACCAATGATCAGGAAAGAGGGAATCTAACAATATCTGGTAGACCACAGGTTCCCCAACCCTGTACTAATTCCTGTAGTTGCTTTTTTAAAAGTAAGTAAAATAATATAAACAGAAAATATTCAACATTAATATACAAGATTGGCTAAGGGTTTTAAGCCAAGAAGGGAACTTACTACTTAGAAACTTCTACCTCAATACCACCTTCATTTGTAAAATTATATTAAAGGTTTAATATAAATTTGTAGATGCAAGAAGTCAGAAAAATTTCTAGCAATTCTAAGTGTTAGTTCAACATACCATTATATCTATCTGTATCTAGAGAGAGATAACCTTATGCTTCCCACTGTAACAATCATTTATTACTAAAAGTGTCTCCCTACATAGTTTGTGCAATGCAATTTAGAATTATTTATAAACATTTTAATATCAAAGAAATGTAGTATAACATGTCACACATTTGGGCCCATTAGTGACTGTATTATTCCTAGTATATTCAGTTTGCTGTCACAAACTATTGGTTTGTCAATTGTTAAGTGATTGTTGTATGTACAATAGAGCATTCTTTACATTAGCAGTAGATTAGTTACCTATTGGTGCCTGTTGAAAATACTGAGAAATTCAGATGCAATTATATTTGAAATGGCAGTTTGAAAAAGAAAATGTCCCCCTCAGAATAACATTATCATTTGCTGGCAGCTGCTGGTGCTATATAAACAGTATAATACTTCTTATCCAATCATTTCAAACGCTCCCTCCACCAGAGTCTAGAAAGAATCGTGCATATTATGGCTCAAGGATAACATTACAATGGGCAGTCTACATATAATGGAACGGGGGCAGTGGTGGCAGGAGCAGTTAACCATGCTGCAAGGTGGTTTTTGACCAGAGAATATGGGAGTAAACTACAGGCAATAATAGATTTCTTCTTCCATTTTTAACTAGCATAAACTTCAGGTCTCCATCTTTACAGACAAAACCAGTTTTCAGCTCCTGCCTGGGCTGATAGAGGTGACTCATGTTCCAGCAATACTTTTTAATGGCCTAACCAACAATTGCTACCAAGCTTATGAAGACCTGCAGAGGAGGACAGAATACGGTAGTTAAAAACAGAATATTGTAGTCTGAGTGCTGAGATAATGCCATAGCCCCCAAACAAAAATGTTTCATTCAAGGAGAAAGAGCTGGATCCTAAGAAACAACTACACTTTTATTGTGCTATAAACATGGTGGGGGTATACTTCCTGCCTCTGACTAACTTATATTGACACATATTGTTAATATCAGAAACTACTTATAAAACCTTGTTTTCTGGATTAAGGAAGAGCTCGGCTTTGTGAGGAGTAGATTGCGGAAAAGAATTTCCTTTTTACACAGAAAGTCAATAAAACCTCTTACCAAAAAGGGCAATAATATCCTGCTTTTCTTAGTTCATTCCGGAAGCGACCACATTGCCAAACTTGGGGCCACTTCTAAATGGTGATGCTGTAATAAACAAAAATGATTCTCATGTAGATGAGGATGCAGGGTGGTTTTGTGCTTGCAGGAGCACCTGGTGCAGGTGCTAATATGACCTCCACCTGCCTGGGTCCTAAAGAGGTTAGTAGGAATAAAACTCGCAAAGATCTGAATTAAACAAACTTTCTTCAACTGAAACCACATTCACACCGAACAATATACTACAGCAATTGCCCACATAGAACTAAATTTATATGTAATCTATTTAATACAATAACAATGGAACAAATAGTTCCACTGTCCACAGAACAAGGAAAAAAACTGCATAGAAAACCAACCTGTCCAACCATTTAATCTAGTTCACCAAGGTGCTGAACACTTCAAAACTTACTCCATGCATACAGCTTTTGTCCCAAAGTGACAGGACAACAATAGAAAACGGCAATGTTTAAAACACCAAATCTTGAAGGACGCATACCTTATACAAGGTGATAAGAGACCAGAAATCTTATTCAACTTCCAGCAGAACAAACTGACTTTGATTGTGTACACATTAGCATTTATTCCAGCTCCAGTGCACTCTCACCACTGATGTTTGAAGCCAAGTAGACATGACATTAGCCACAATCCATAAACATAATGCAGTTTCTTGAGAAATATTTCTGATAGATGTGCTTCCCCTCAAATCAATTTCTATCTTATTTGAAAAGCTATGGCCATTTGTAAGCCATGGTTAAGCTGAAGTATGTACATTTCCTACATCTGTTGCTCATGCACAGATGACAAATTCCCTGAATAAAAGTTCTGGGGGTTCACAAGACTTGAAAGACAGCTTGGAGAAACAACCTTACTGCACTATAAGCCTCTCTCCATCTTCACCTATACTGGCCTAAATCAGCCCATTAAGTAGTATGGAAGCAATCCACTCCATCAGGAGTTCCCATGTGATAAGCAGTTCTACACATTATAGCAGTACAGTACAGTGGTACCTCGGGTTACATACGCTTCAGGTTACATACGCTTCAGGTTACACACTCTGCTAACCCAGAAATAGTGCTTCAGGTTAAAAACTTTGCTTCAGGATAAGAACAGAAATCGGGCTCCGGCGGCGCGGCAGCAGCGGGAGGCCCCATTAGCTAAAGTAGTGCTTCAGGTTAAGAACAGTTTCAGGTTAAGAACGGATCTCCGGAACAAATTAAGTACTTAACCTGAATACCACTGTATAAGGAAGTCTGCACACTACTGAATTTTCACTTTAAATTGTATAAGTCCCTACACACTGTAAGTTTGATTTAACTTCCTATCTCGAACATGTTTCTAATTAACCACATAAGAAGGTACTATAATAGTTGTTATAAACAAGGTATTTTGGAAGTAATGTCTATGTCCTAGGAGGAGTGCCTGTATTTGCGTGAAATATTTAATGGCTCATCTTGGGTAAGTGCAATTATTGTGTGTTATTTATGACGCTGTGAGTTGTAAAGGTGATCTGGGGGTTAGGCTATATGCTAGAGTCCATTCTGTATGCATTGGGGGAAACACCAGGGAGAGGAGAGTAATTCTGATATATCCAGTAGCAGGAGACAGATTGCGCTGTAAATACTCTGTCTTGTGACCTTGGCCAAGTTAGAAAGGAAACTGATAAGATTTAACTGCTGCTGACCAAATTCACCCCCTTAGACGAGCCCATAGTCTAGAGAAGCCGATGCCCTTGGATTTAAATTGTTTGGCACCTAAGTCCTAATAGCATTTACTTGGTACTAAGATGCATTGATTTCAGTAGAACATATTGCCAAATAAGCATGCTTATCTGTGAATAATGAAGGCAGTTGATGATGATGATATCTATACTGCCCTTTATCTGAGCATTACAGGGCGGTTTTCAGATTCTGCTATGTTAGTCTTATAAATGAATTACATTGGCTTAACTGGGTTATAGAGAGGAGATGTGAATATGGAGATCTTGTAATAGAAAGAGCTTTGGCTGTTGATGCCTGCCAGTCAGGCGGCTGTTAAAGCAGTGATGTTGTTGGACTAGAACCCCCATGCTGATTGGGGCTGGTGGTTGAGTCTAACAAAATATAGAAGACACAATTTCCCTATGAAGCCTTTGCCTATTAAAAAATAAAATGTGCAACTTTCTAATGTGGGGAAAGTGCTGGTGCATGCATTGCCAAATACACTATACTGTATGTTTGTTTTATGTGCTGCTCCATATGAAATGCACATGCCATGCTGTTGTGTATGATATGCTATTGCATGTGTTTTTCCGTGGCATATTGCTGCATGTTTCCACAGTGGCGTAGCGTGGGGGGTGCAGGGGGGCCGGTCGCACCGGGCGCAACATCTGGGGTTAGGGCAAATCCACAGGTTAGGGGGCGCAAATCCACGGGTTAGGGGGTCAAATCCACGGGTTAGGGGGCGCAAATTACTTGCCCTGCCCCAGGTGCTGACAACCCACGCTACGCCACTGTGTTTCCACATGTTTGGGCGCTACATGTCTCTCTGTGTGTATGAGATTGTGTGACAGAGAGAATGCAACTGACATAACACTTGATTTGCAGCCACAGACTTTGTTCACTTCCTCTTATCTGCTAAGCAGCCTTTGAGATCTCTGCAATGTTTGCAGTCTGTGATAGCAGTGGCCGACATGCCAGGATTGTTGTAGGCACACTTTGTCATCTTTATTCCCACCCTTTTGGAGCACTACACAGCCAAGTATATTTTTTGAACCATTGGACTAACTACAAAGATAATAACCCAAACAGCATTAATTTAGAGACATTAAAAAATGGCTACTTTACAGTGTTGGTGTAAAGATAACTTAGATAATATGCTTGAAATGCTTTTAACACCTTCAAATGCAATATACTCGCAAAGTTGCAGAGCCATGCTGAAATTAATTTTTGCTTCCCCACCCTGCAACCAATAGATTTCTCTTAACATGAATATCCTAGAATATTCAGGTCCTTGACTTTACAGGTTAAAATGTGACACTTTACAGAAGTGTCACATTTTACTGACACTTCTGTTCCTAGCATTTTGAGGGGAGGGGCACCAGGTTTTTAATCTTTTTTCTCCAATTTGCAGTTGGGGGGAGGCAACTCGTTTATACACTTATTTACAGCATTTATCTAATTCAAAACTGCTGAAAGTGAAGCATAAACTAAAAGCATTGTAATCTAAAATACAGGCAACCCCCCAGTTTGTGTGGAGGTTGCTTTCCGTGCCATTGCGCAAGTCAGGAGAGCACGCATAAGCCTTCTTTTCCCCACCCCCATTAGGGGCCTCTCCTGGATCGTATGCAGAGTTGTGAGTTCAAAGGACGTGTGCAAAATGGCCGTCCCCTGTATTGATAACAATATTATACCATGGTTGCAGTTGGAGACCCAGATCTGTAGAGATGCCCCTTCCTTTCATAAGGATGATCACAGGCTGGTAATCAGGCATGTATGTGGTCGGGTTCAAAACTTAGCAACATTAAGAGCTGCTTTTAATCACATACATTATTTCAGTGATTTTTTTCTAACAAAATGTTTAGGGGTACTCTCATTTTCCTACTCATATTGAAATACTGCCCCTCAATGAAGCCAAACCTAGATTCACAAAATGTTTAGGGGTATGCGTCCCCACAGAAAAAACACACTATTTTTTGCATAAATTTCTAGAAGCGACTGAAAATGCTACCTTTGGGTGCTAAATCATACAAGGCTCTGAATAAGGTAGACAACAAATGAAGCCAACAATTGCATTCTGCTGCAGTATATTTTATGCAACAGATGAAGGAATTGAGATCTAAACTGTGATTTGCCACCTGATCAGCTTTTTATCAACCATTTTTACTTGCTCAGGTTTCACAGAGCTAGTGATTTTCTTGTGACTCATTCATCTCACACACTCAACACTCTCTTCCGCTCTTTTCCTGTGGGCACAAATAATTCAGGTGTCTGAAAGATACCTGCAGTAATTCTATTGTGGACTTCTAGGCACCTCCATTTGCAGCACTTACATACCTTTATCCCAACAAAATAGAATAGAATTGCAGCTTCTGTACTGAAATGGCTGCAACACAATAGCAAAATGTCCCGCATTTGCTCTGAACTCCAGAGTGAGCTTGTCAACTATGGACACTTTTACAAACCTTTTGTAATCATTTTTGTAAAAGTCACTCCTTTTTTTTTAATGTTTAGGGGTACTCTCATTTTCCTACTCATATTGAAATACTGCCCCTCAATGAGGCGAAACTTAGATTCACAAAATGTTTAGGGGTACCCCT